CTATAGGATTATCGGTAGAAACATTTTTGTTCTTGTAAAGCCCAAGCATATATTATTAATACGTTGAAAAGCCCACTTGTATAAAAAAATATACTAATTAATCGCTGTAAAGCCCAGCGGTGTTGCCAATTCTACCCGTAACAAATCTATTTTTAGATTCAAGGTCAAGCTTTAAATATTCGTTAATACTGGTTTCTTAAATTTACGGGCTTGTCATAGTAGTGTTCGTGTATAGTATTTGCTGGAATACTGAAATACTATAATATAGTATAATACTAATAATTATAATTATCCCTAAAATTTCACAATTTAAAAAAATGTACTTTAGAATTATTAAAAAGTTCTTCAAGAGAACATAAAATCTCAGAATCTTAAGTTTATTATTGATAATTTATCCCAATAAACATGTAATAAATATAATAAAATTAGAATTATAGCTTTTATTATATAATTTAGAATAATTATATTATTAAGTATTATTACTGCAATATAAAAATAATAAATATAAAAAATCTTCTTATTTATTTCTATACAAATTAATTTATATGAGTATAATTGGCTTCACCAGTATTTTTTTAACTAGACATATTTCCTTTTTTAAGTCCAGTGTAAAACTGTTTACTTATGTGGTATTTTTGACAAAATTTACTTATATTAATATTGCTAATTAGCAAAATATAACCATACATAAATGTAAATATTTTTATTGGAGTTTTTATTATTTTAAATATCTTGAAATCCTATAGAACACTAAGAAAAAATTAATATTGACAGATTTAACGTTTACAAAATACATTTTAAGTATAAAATAAAGAACGACTTACATTTTTTAAGGCATATCTGACTTAAATTTCTTGCAATATTTTTTTTTCGCTTTTAATCTATTTTTAATGAAACCCAAAACTTATGTATTTATTACTTTATTTGTAAAACAGAACATTTTGTAAAAGTATACGAACTGTAAAATAACCATTACTAAACATTTTACCATTAATATTTCGTAGGTATTGATTGTTAAAACTTTTAACTTTTTAACTTAAAAGTAATGAATCCTAAATATTAATTATTGATATTTTATTTTATCTACTCCTCTATTGACGACCTGTGGCTTTATGGCATTTTAGTCCCGAGCTGAAGTTAGCAACAGTGCCTTTTAAGTTAGCTATATTATAAATTTGGAAAATGTGAGGTTTAAGTTGACAGATGTCAAATTTTTAACAAATAAAATTCGCCTTAAATTTTGTTTTGTGTTCGTCGTAGATAGAGTATAGTATGTAACTCGTTTATAAACTTCTTTAGAGACTAGTTTTTATTAAACACTCGCTCGCAAGCTTCGCTCTTGCTTAATTAAACTCGTAACTAAAATATAGTTTATAAAACTTGATATATAATATACTATTATAGTAATTACTATAAAATAAAATATTAATAATTAATATTTAACGTGTCATTATTAAGTTAATAATTTATTACTTTTTTAATTTAGAATACATTTCAATAATAGTTTTAAGTAATATTAAAACTTTTCACAATATATTATTAATTTGTATTTAATTAATATACTAAAAGTGTGGAAGCAAATTCCCAATATTATTTTTCTATGTAGTCGGCTACAGGTTCGGATTTAGGAATTTGGCGTGTCTATAATATAGAACTAAGACATGAGACAATCTGACTTTATAGCTAAGAGAGAGTGCGTTTAATCGTTCTTCAACAAATTTTTATCCCAAGTAGTTTTTCACTTCATCATCATTTTATTCTTAAACATTCTATATTTTGAAATTTTTTAATTGAAGACACTTGTCACGAAGTGTTTATTCAAACAATGCATGCAAAAATTCTCGGTTATTTTTTATCAAGAACTTTGTATGCTATACTAATTTAGAAAAAAATTTGTCCAAATTCATCCAAAGTATTTAGTTACCCCTAATTTTTTCCGTTCTAGGCAGCTGCCTACGTTGTCTGTTCGGTAAATCCGGCCCTGGTCGGCTATCTTTTGCATTTTGTTGGTTATCGTTTAATTCGGTTAAATTAATTATTATTATTTAATTGTGCATATTTAATGGTAAATTCAAAATAGTTAATTATCATTATAGTATAGTTATTAAACTCCAGTTTAGATCTTCCTTCATTTTGTAATTACTATTTTTCAGTAAAGGCATAGTTGCCAAACAACACTTTTGTTAAATATATGAAAATTATTACTAAACTTTTTAGTAACCATTCCCAAAACTGTTCTCTCCGAGCATATGCATAAAATGACATGTAGAATCTATATTATAGATATTATCAAGTTTACCCCTTAAGGGGTAAGGGGTTAGATGTTTTCTATAAATTTGAAAAATATATTTATTGGCCGGCAGTATTTTTTTTAAACTACAATCGAATATTTTTTAAAATGTTCTTGTTTAGAATAATAACCAACAGGGGTTTTGTGAGCAAATAGACTTTCAAAATGTGTCACATTACTGAAAAAAACAATTTTTAGTCTCTTTTCTTTAAAACGAATATTTATCACCTATTTTAGGGTAGTGCAAAATTTGAATATATTTAAAATTGAAACGCCTGAATCATTGATTAATAACTGCTCCTTCACTCAACGCCTGTATATAAAAAATTTGTGTATGATAAAAGTAAATATTATGGTGAAAAAATATATATTAATATATTTTTAATTCCAATAATCGCTTAGACTATGTAGGGCAATATTTTTTACCTGTCATCTGCCAAAAGTAAACCAAGGGCTCTGAGCTTTATTTGACAATTTTTGGCCTATCTAGAGTAATTGTTTAGAAAATTGGACTAGTACAAATTGCAGCGAATATGGCACTAGTGCTACCAGGTAAATATTTTTAAATTTTTTTTATTATTTTTTAATCATTTGTTCGATAAAATTGTCCTCTAAATACAACTCGCAATTAAAAATATATGTCGAATATTTTAATGTGTTTATTAGCAAATATTATTTGTAGTTGCAAATAGTACTCGTGGTAATTAATTAGGGGGCATCCATTAATTACTTGAGGCCATTTTGATTTTTTAGTACTATTTACTAAACAGTTCTCTATACATGGTTATTAATTGCATAAAAGTTAGCCACTTTTGTAATACTTTACTAACTTTATACTAACTTTATAACAATCATTACTAACAGTTTGGGAATAATAGTATTAGTAATATATTATGTATATTTTTTATTTTATCCTCTTTTCCACCACTTTGCCCCTAGGGGATTCATGCAAATATATAAATCAGTTATAAATGGAACACTAAAAATTGTAATTCACGAATAAATAATTGTAATTACTTATTTTAGCTCCTCTGCCAACATCGCAAATTTATTAAAAATAAAATAAATTTATAATTGAATTCTGGAACAAAATAATTATACATATTTACAGGAAACCCAAAAAAATTTAAAAAAGGTGTAGTTCCGCGGTTTTAAAAATTGTAAGTCGCTTTGGTCTGCAACAGCAATTTATAGATCAGTAAACTGCTACAATAAAATATTCTCTTTCATATAGTGCTTTTATGGTTAATTTCTAAAGCCGCCGTATATTTAAAAAAATATATTGTACGCGCGTTGTCGGGCCCAGCAGTGTTGCCAAGTTTAGGGGCTGATAACGATACGTTAATATAAATGTATAAATATATACTCAGAAGCGCCCCCTACAGTGAAATTCTCCAAACTTTTTGTATAAATGAATGCATAAATAGTACTTTTTGAGGCCCATCAAAAATTTTAACAGGAGGGTGCAGAAAGAAAGGAGAATCGAATGGCTACTATATACTCGGGCTCCGTTGTAAAGCCCAAAGCCGGGTTTTATAACGTCGCTTTGGGCTTTAAAACGTATTAATGTTATCTTGTGCGGGCCTGTATAAGAGCGAATATACGTCTATATATATATATATATATATATATATATATATATATATATATAGATAACGTTATTTCTATAAAAAACTATAAATTATAATTTAAGGAAAAATTTTAGAATACCAAATTTCTTAAGATTAATATAAATTGTAAAATAAAAATATTAAAACATTAAGTGTACTCCAAACCAGTTTACCAGGGATTGAATTGTTATAATTTCGTAATTCGTTGTGCGTTCCTGCATTTTGCGATTTTATAAAGGCTTTAATTATTTAAATAATTAAACAGAGAATTAAATTAATTAATTTAATTCTCTGTTGCATTAATATTTTAACAATTATTTTGAACAATTTAACGGTGAAGTACTGAGTATTAAGGTTGTTATTGACAAGTTTTTTTGCAAATATGAATATAATAATGGACTTTAAACACTGTACACAATAATAAAATATAAATTAGTATTTTGTTCTTTCATGCATGCATATTTCAATGTTTACTATGATATTTTGTATTGTTGAAAGCTTAAAAAAGTGCAAGCTACAAAAAAATTGACTGCCGCTTTTTTAAATTTGTAAATCCCCGTTGTCATAGATCACGAGCCGCCACTGGTAAGAATTTAGTTCATACTGTACGCTGACTGGACATTTTAATAAATCGTACAAAATCTTGCACTGACAATTAACTGATAATTAAATTGTAACCTTTAACAAAATTAATTCAATAAGCATTGCTTCCCATTTATAAGCTACTAAAGTAACTTTATAGGTTGAACATTTAAATAAACAATGCACAGATATATTTTAAACGGCAATCCATTTTTATTATAATATATAATAATAATATACCTTTATTATTTCAATAAACCAGGTAATTCTTAGTGTAAATACTATTTACACTAAGAATATTTACTAAATAGTAAAGGTCAGACACATCATTAATTGGGGAATACATTTTGTTGGTTTTTTCGAATTTAAATATTTATATTTTAACCAACTTCAAGGTAAGTCGACATTTATTAATACGTTTAAAAATAATACTTAATAATAAATCATAAAAACTGAAACAGATATCATTCTCATTACTCATTGCTAAGTTAGCCAGTAATTCGAGTTCAGATTTTTTCTCATACGAACATCGCGTAGAGAACGAAGTCTGGTCGCGGATTTTCTATAAATAATCGCAACGAAGTGAGTAAGCAGCTCATTTCATCTGCAAAAGCTATCTGAAAACTGAAATACTGTGAGCCGTGTGCACGTTAACCGTTGGCCGACTGAACAACGGACAGAACGGGAATCTTAATTTTTTTGTTTTTAAACAACCCAATATTTTTATGTACAATTTACCTTACATTAAATTGTCTTTTTAACCTAATTATAACCCGATGAAAAATGATTCTTACCATTCATATCAAGTTATAGTCGATTGGATACGTCCCACTTGTTTAAGACCTTTTTACACAAAAATAGATACATATTGCATTATTTTTTTAAATAAGACGAAATTTTAGTTTGTAATTTAGGAAATTCGTTTTTCACCTAAATTGTTATTTAATGGAATGTTTCAGTTATTAGACATGGGACCCACATCAAATTTTAATGAGTTTATAATGACATTATATAGACAAGTTCTGCGCAAGCAGAATTTATATTGAAGTTTGCGAAAAAACGTTATTTTTTTAGTGTGCCCCCCAGCCTCCTGCCCCACAATTTAAGATAATTCAAATTAAAGTTGTGCAACCCAAGCAGCATTTTTGGTTCCAAAAACCATTGCATTGTATACTAAACAGCTACTTTAATTTTTAAATAGCAATATTTTGTAACAGAAACTTAATTTTTCCTTAAATAGTTACTATAAAGTACCTAATAAACATTTAAGTAAAACTTGGTTGCCCCCAAGAAGACTTTGCAACTTTAAAAAAGGTGTTATAAGTAAAAAAAACTTTCAAGTAAATTTAATTTGTAGCAGTTACTTTCGGTTGCTAACTAAAGTTACATTATAATTATTTTTACTTTGTAGTCCCTTTGCAGGTTAAAATCTCGAAACTGGAACATGAGTTAAAAACTACAAAGTTAATAACTTAAAAGTAATTATTTTAGTATTTGGAACGTTTATGGTACTAACCAAAACAACCGTAAAGTGGAAAAAAACTTGAAAGTAGCGAAAACTACTTCAAAGGAAAATGCTTCTTATCGGCCATTTTTTACTGTACAGTACCACGTAATGTAAATAATAAATTATTTTAATTGTTTGTAAGTGGTTGTTTACTTTTTAATAAATAGTAATTTCGTTGGTAATAGACGGTATTAATAATGAAAAAAAAATTAATAATAAATATTAAGATTTTTTTATTTATAAACATTAATAAATAAATAATTTGTTTATACTTAAATATTGATGAAGCGCATTTATTTTACAAAAACTAAATTCATAAGTTCAACAGTAAAATTCAAAGGGTTTATAAATTTACCTGCTTAATTAAATATTATATTGTTATTATGGAAGTTATAAACTACCAGTACCTACATATTTATTAACGACGACATTGAAAGGCCAAGTCCGTAGACTACGGACCGTAGTGGTTCCATTTAAAAAAGGAGGGATAGTATAATCTAATATAAGTTTGACAAAGACAGTTAATATAGGAGTAAAAACAAATAAATAAAAGTAATTATAACGCTCTAGCAACAATATTGGAACGTTCTAGTAACGTAGCAGCTACGTTCCAAATAGTAGCAGGGTTTATAGCTAGTGACATATTTGTTACCTTTTTGGAACTCAATAATTGTTCCCCACTTTAGTCGTAACTTAGTAATAAAAGAGTAATATAAAGAGACTGGCGACTGTCGCAAAACACTTTTAAGTTTCTTCAATAGTCCCATATACGTAACAAATACTTAAATTGTTGCTTGGGAATTTATAATTCTCTACAGTTTATCAAAAAATTTTAAAATTTATTTAAATAGTCCAAGTATTACAGATTTTATACCATTTATATATTTTTTTAATTTAGTAAAAGAAATAATAAAACATTAAAATGGTATGAAACCTGTAATACTTGAATTTTATGAATAAAATTTAAAATTTATCGATAAACTTCAGTGAATTAAATATTGCACCGCTTTAATTTTAATTATCTTAACTTGGGGGGGCAGGAGGCTGGGGGGCACACTTAAAAACTATTTTTTTTTCGCAAACTTTAATTTCCCAGAACTTGTCTATATAATCTAATTATAAACACATATAAATTTAATGTGGGTCCCATGTCTAATAACTAAGATAAGGATGTGCCCAAAATCCACCAGCCGCCACTGCCCAGACGTTTAACAGTTTAAATATTCGGTAGGAACAAACCTAAAATAGGTAATATCTAATGCTTATAATTAGTGCGTCACCAGCCAATGGGCCAGATGATGAGAAGAAATAAATACAATTTGTAAAGTACTAGTATAACATGTATTGGGAATAAAATTTAGTATAGGGTCGTTTTGAGGGGTGGTGAATGCAGTGCCATGCTTAGATTTTGTTTAAAAAAATCGCCAATATGAATTCTTAAAAATTAACTCTTAAAAACTGACATAGTATTTTGTAAAAATATGGCGTTTTTTGCTTCAAAAATACAGTTTATCAAGATCCACACTTTAAAACAAATCCAGTTAAAATCGCACAATAAATAAAGATTTTAAAGGGGTGAGTCGCAAACAAATGGGTCATACTGTATACTGTTTCCTATTAAAAATGGGTCGGATCTGTTAAACATTACGATTAAAAAAAAATTGAAAATTATTTTCTCCAAAATAAAAAGAAAATTGAAACGGAAATTCGACTTCCGCTGCATTTTGAGATACAGCGAAAAAAATAAGAGCAGAGGCAAGTTAACAAGATAACAAGTTTGGAATACGGCATATTCCGCTCGATTGAAAAGTTTGTCACATGAGCCGAAGGCAAGTTTGACGGTTTCCGAAGAGCTATAGACTTATAGACTATACTTTTTCTACGTTTCCAAAATATCCCCTAGAAAAGTAATTTTATTGGCAGAAAGTGAGGTTGGATCGGTCTAAATTTGATAAATATTAAACACAGAGATGTCGCCACCAGTGTTCATTCCGTCATCCGATGATAGAATAATTCATTCGGTTATACTTTCAGGAATATATGTAATTCTACATTAAAAAGTGATATAAGAACGGTCATATTCCGTAATAGGAGTAGAAAATTAGTAGGTATATTATGTATGAAGCTTGATAAACGCCATTTTAGTAACAAATTTAAGTTAGGCGAGCTTGCGAGCGAATGCTTAATTAAATGAGTGTCTAAAAATTTTATAAAAGAGTTGTATACTATACTTATACTTTTTACGACAAATACTTATTATTATCTAAAAATGATTTAAATAAAATATTTGTATATACAAAAATAAAGTAACCGTAATAATGTAATTTATTTTTATAATTTTTTTTAAATCTATCACCTGCCTATGGCATTAATATATTAAATAAATAAAATAATAAAATAAATGTATCAAATATCTTTTTTATGAAATTACATTTACAAGAATATTAAATCATATTTTATAATAATTGGTTAAAATAAAATTTTATTTAAAATATGTGGTAAAACATTCTTTAAGGTTTAATTTATTAATATTAATTAATATTAGTATTAATTAATTTTATAATATTTACGTTTATTTTTCATTCAATAGTTGGTAAAAATAAAAACGGGTTATTCCATTACTGATGTTAAACGGTTTGGCGGCGCCTTATTAACTAACAACTGTTTTGCGCCAATTCAGAATTTTTTGGCACCAGTTTCGGAAACAACAGATACCCACCCACTAAACGTTACGTAATAGTTGCCACACTTACTTGCACTTGACACTTTTTTCTATCCCTTCACATACTTTAATAAATTCAAAAAATAAAACTTGAGAATAAATAGTTGAATTGGTGAAAATAAGAACAGTACGAGTTCAAAAACATTTTTGTGAGAAGACTTAACTGATTTTTTGAAATATTTTCTTAAAATTTTATCGTTTAAACTTGTACTGTTCTTAATCTCACCGATTCAGTGATTTTATTAATTTTTATATTTGTTTTCTCATATTTCTCTTTCTTTCTAGTTCTTCTCTTAACCTAATTATTTCAGGATTCGGATTTCGATCAACAACTGTAGCTGTATTTGGAGAACTTTTCATTCTGGTACATTCTTTAGCTTGGTTTATGTATTCTTTTAAATTTTCTACCATTTGTTCATGACTTTCCTTTTTCTGCTGTATCATACATCGTTTTTCCTGCAGATCTTGCTTCATTTTTAAATTAGTCAGCACTAATCTTTCTTGTAGCTCCGCTATGGACATTTCACATAATAAACCATAGTTTGGCGATTCTGTCGGATCAAACTCTTTGACATTTAAAGAGCTTCTCACTTGCTCCATGGCTCTTATTTCTTGTATGAGTTCCATTTTCTTTTCCAATTCTCGTTGTTTTTCCTCATAATATTGCTTCAAGAGTTGTTTACTTTCAAATTGTAGTAATCTAGCGTTACTTTGTTTATCTTCCTGCATTTTCTTCTCTGCTTCTTTTGCGGCTTTATGAATATCTTGAATTTTTACGACAATTGATTTTATCTTTATTTGTTCTTCCTCTTTCCATTTGTCTAATTCTTCGAAAACCTTGACCTTTTCTTCCTTCATTTTTGCAATTTTTTCTTGATTGGAAATTTCCAATCTTTTTTTGGCTATTATAGCTTCCTCGTAAGTGAGTTGTCCTTGAAGGTGTTTTTTTTCGATATCTTCTAAATGCCATTGTTCTTCTTTTTTTCTTCTTTCAACTTCCAGTTTTTCAATATTTTCTTTGCACAAACCACCTTTAATTAAATGTTCTATTTTCTTTACTTCGTTTTCTTGTTCTTTAATATATAAGCAAGCTTCTCTTAACGTAGACGTTAGATTGCTTCTTACTTTAACGGTCCTTGTAATGGGAGGTTTATTAGCCTGAAAGGGTTTACTGGGCTTAAGAGGTTTTTTAATTCTTGGAAGTTTTGGTTTGGATAATGATTGCAACCTCTTATTCGCCGCATTTAGTAATCTTATGGCGTTGATCTGATTTTGTTCATGCATCTTTTCCAAGTTTTTTTGAATTTTAACATCTACTACATAGTTTGATTTAGGAATTTCACTTGCTTTAAATTCAAATGGTGGTAATGGCGTGTTGGGAGGTACTCTTGTAATACGTTTTGGACGATTTAATACGTTTAATTCATCTGGGACAGTGGCTGGTTTCTTTTTAATAATTTTGCTTTCTGCTTTTTGATTTACGGTTTCTTGTATGAAATGCATTTTATTTATTAAAGGATAAATTATGGTTTCCAGCACATAATCGTTAGCGTAGACTTTACAACTGGCTTCAGCAATAAATATTTGATTTTCTTCTTTTGTAAAATATGATAATAATTCCTGACCATAAGGAATGTTATCGACCATAATCTTTATTTCCTCCAAGTTGCTTTCGTCCAAATAGAAAATAATTAGGTAGAACATAGTCTTGCATTTTATGATGTTGAAATGTTTTATTGAATATTGCTCGATAAATTTTGCGCTTATTTCTACAAGTATCGGCTCATGTTTCTTAAAATTTAGAAAATGTTTTGTTATGTACTCATCTTTCTCGAAAAGGTGTTCCTTCACGTACTCTGTCGGTGTAAGTGTCTTATTAGATTTAAAATTATGAATGATCGTATATAAATCTTCATACAAATTGGGTGTTTTTTCTGGATTCATTATTTATTATCAATTTTTGTTTCAAAATGACATATTTATATTTGAGCCCTGTATATATTTGTCATGTTATGTCCAACAATAAAAAACGTCAAAATATACAGGGGCTCAAGTTAATAAAGGGACAGGGCGTCGCGATTAGTTACTAGACAAATTCGGCAAGACACTTTGTCTAGTAACTAGTATTGTCATCTTGCAAGATAATGTATTTTCTTTTCAAAATAAATGTATTTGACAATTTTTTAATAACGATTTAGGACGTAATTTTCTTTGTTATACTTATGTATTGTATTATATTAAGTTTAAATATAAATTTTACATATTTATTATATTATTATTTTAATTATAAATATTACAAAGATATAAATACACAAAACATAAGATACAACTGATACAAGTAGCGATAGTGTTAAGTTGTTTTTTTAATTTTTACATTATTTTAAATTAACATAACTTTAGTTTTTGGAAAATGGGTTCCCAGATAGCACAAGAGGTACCCAGGACGTCCATTTCGGGTCCCACATAGGTCCGAACGTCCTAGACCTATCGGAAGTTTTGGGTACGTCCAGTCTCTTACTTATTTGGGAAAATTAAAGCGGATATACTGGGTACGTCCCAAGGACGTAATTGCATTGTATTTCCAAATGATCTAAGTGCCAAGTTAATAATATATTATCATTTAAAAATAGTTAATGTCATGCAGAATGACTTAATAGTATATTCTGTAACAAGTTAGCATATCCGCTCGAGTGAAGAGTTTGTCACACGAGCCGAAGGCGAGTTTGACGGTTTCAGGAGAGCGGAATATGCAATTCCAAACGTGTTTCAGACATTTACATGTGCAAAATATTTGTTTTTCATTGATAACTCACAATTCTATTTTTGTAACTTAGACCCCCCAGATAGCTGATGCTAGCATCCAATTCAGAAAGATTTCTGTACGAAGTCTGTTAAAAAACATCTTACTGAGGTCACAATACAGACATCTTAGAAAAATCATTTTTAGGAGCTCAAGATTAAGAGTTCTTGATGAATTCATAAATAAGAAGTAAATTTTTTAACATCTTAAAGTATTTTTTTTTCTGACCTCTTATTGAAATCAAAATTAGAAGCTACTAAGGGTAGGTATCATAAATAAGACTTTAGTATTATATATTTAGTATTCTCTTTTCTTACTTCTTACTGAAATCATATTATTAACTCTTTAAGTCGTCAACATGGAGACGTCACATTTATGACATTTTAATGCGATTCTTTCTTCTCACCGCTGTAACTGTTTGTGTTTGATATAAGAAGCGGCGAAGTAGAATTTAGAGCGTGCTTCATACCAAACGAAACTGACGAGCTCCAAAAGAGGTAAACAGGCCGTCTATCGGTGCCGGTGAAGAGCACGCTTAAATTTAAACAAAAGTGAGACGAAGTAATCGCAATTCCTAAAATAAGCGAATAAGAGCAAATTATTAAAATGATTTTAATAAAATCCATTTAACAAATTAATAAAATAAGACTTAATTAAGACGTCATATTGCTGTCTGGGCCTTTGGGAATACCACTCTTTAATTCTGTAAAGCTTGTCCATTTGTCCCCAATTTCAGCATTTCAGGATGGCCAGAGGATGTCTTACTTAGGACGTTCTGGGGACCGACGATTTGGTAACATCGGATGTCCCTGGAACGTCCTGGTTCAGGACCTGATTCGGACGTACTCGGAACTTACTAATGTCTGATACAAGATATACTCAGGACCAGTGGCGTATTTAGGGGGGGGTCCGCCGGGTCCGGACCCCCCCCGGGCGCACATATTTTATTATTTTTATTACAAAAAAAGTTCCTTTTATTTACTATTTTATCGGATCAGAAGAGTTCCTAATTTGTGATTTTTTAGTTATTAAAGCAAAGCATAGTATAGTATTTAGGATTTAGCTCCGGGGGGTCCAAAAAAACTAACTAAATATGTATACATATTTAGTTAGTTTTTTTGGACCCCCCCCGGAGCTAAATCCTAAATACGCCACTGCTCAGGACGTTTTTATTACTTCTTTGTGCTATCTGGGTTAGAATAGTATATTCTGTAACAAGTTTGGAATACAGCATATTCCGCTCGCACACGAGCCGAAGGCGAGTTTGACGGTTTCACGAAAGCGGAATATGCAATTCCAAACGTGTTTCAGACTATACTTTTTCTACGTTTCCAAAAAATACCATAGAAAAATAATTTAATTGGAAGAAAGTGAGGTTGGATTGGTCTAAAATTTGTTAGATATTTAAAACAGAGATGTCGCCACGAGTGTTTATTCTGTCATCAGATGATAGAATATTTCATTCTGTAACACTTTACGGAATATATGTCATTGAATGATTCTTCTAATATTACTTTTATCTATGGAATGACAGTCATTCCATAGATAAAAGTGATATTAGAAGGGACAAATTCCGTAATAGGAGTAGAAAATAGTATATTCTGTAACAAGTTTGGAATACAGCATATTCCGCTCGAGTGAAGAGTTTGTCACACGAGCCGAAGGCGAGTTTGACGGTTTCACGAGAGCGGAATTTGCAATTCCAAACGTGTTTCAGACTATACTTTTTCTACGTTTCCAAAAATACCATAGAAAAGTCATTTGATTGGAAGAAAGTGAGGTTGGATCGGTCTAAAATTTGTTAGATATTAAAAACAGACATGTCGCCACGAGTGTTTATTCTGTCATAGGATGATAGAATATTTCATTCTGCAACACTTTACGGAATATATGTCATTCCATAGATAAAAGTGATAATAGAACGGTCATATTACATAATAGGAGTAGAAAAAGATAATTATCATTCTATCACATTTTCCAAAAACGTTTTTTTTTAAATAAGTCATACCTAACAATTTTCAATAAAAAATAATAAAATCTAGTTTTGGTCGATAGTTTAAAAAAAATGCAAATATATATATAATGAATGTTTAGAATTTTTATAATGAAAGTGGCTACTAGCTGTTTTTAGATCACCAATGCCAAACTGTATTAACAAACGTCACAATTGTTACGAAAACCACAATTCTTATATATTTAGAAAATTATTTATTATTTGAATGCAGTAGTTATTTATAAAAAGAAAATAGTCCTTTGGAAAAAAATTAAATTCTGTAACTAATATCATATTTGTTATATATTGTACACACATTTAATTTGGCACATTAGCTTTTTCAGAATTTCCATAATAAAATTCTTAAATCCAACCAAATATTTGTTTTTCATCCAAAAATCAGGTACTTTGTTAAATAATAGTATAATGCCAAACTAAAAATGGTTTTTACGTCATTAATTTCGTCATGAATCTGAATTCTCAACGTAAATAATTTTCATATTGGCTTCGAAAATAGATCAGACGTTATAAAGCAGGAAATACAGTTTGGTAATTGATAAGTTTCTTGCTTTACTTTAGATTAAAAATATAGTTAGCCTATTTAAAAATAGTATTACTGTAGCCAGGGTCGGGTTTATGTAAATATAAAAGCTAAATGGTCATCCAAAAAAGGTACACCTCCATTTAAAATCTGCTTGGTGCTTTAATCCTGTCAACCTACTTTTATGTAAACTGATCTATTTTGGTTTGATTTAGAAAGCGAATGTAGAACACATTTATCTACTTTTAAAACATATGGGGTTAAACATTTGTGGTTAGACCACAAAATTCTGGAAACCTAGGAGGACTATTTCTTTATTTTGCGGATTCATGAGATTTTTGCACTAAAAACTTAAAAATAGTGATTTGTTTCCCTTTGTTTATTTTATACATATTCTAGTATTTATTAATATAAAACAACTTGAACATTGATAATCTTTTTCATTTTTATAATAATAATTGCGATTTGGTCTCAAAGTTAGGCATTACCAGACGATCTTTGAAAATACCTACCCAGACATTAAGTTTTTGAGGAGTGTGGACTTTGTACTTTTGACCAGTAGCGACAATTATGACGATTAACAGTTAAGTTAAGAAAAAAATTAAACTCGTCCTAAAAACATATCAGCAGTTTTAAGTCCATTTAGGTCCAAAGATCTGTTTTTGTTCGCTACTGATTCTGTTTCTTGTAACTTCGCCATTAAATCCAAAATTAATTTTCTATTCACATCCCTACCCGGATGGCGTTCACTACATAAATCTGATGTATGATTTCCGCACTCACTGTTTAAAAAAATATATAATCTTTTTTCACGAGTGAAAGAAAGGTTTTGGATATTGCCTCAGTATATTTAATTAAGACGTTTCGACTGTTAATATTCAAGCCAGTTGCACTGAAGCATCCAGGTCCAACAAAACGTATTGCAGGATCCAGGTTATGAACTTGTACTTTCCAAGATACGTTTTTTTTGAAGTGGACGAGTTTTCTCTTTTTGCGAGTTTAACAACTGTTTCTGTTATTATTTATGACGTTGCATCTACAGTGTATTTTTTGAATGTGTGTGATTGCGTCATCAATTGGGTCGTATCATAGATAACAAAGCCTTTTAGATCGGCAACTTTGGACGCCACGGTGACGTTGAACTGAACTAAAAGCGGAGAAGCGGGAACATAGCGCTTTTTTGAATAAATTTTAATAAATGTCAATAAATTTTAATAAATGTCAATGACATTACATAATATTTTAGTTGAAGGTAATAAAAATACGAAATCTTATTATTATTTTTTTATTCATAATATTAATCAATATACAATAAAAAAAAAATTACATTATTTTTTAACCCACCCTAATACTTATACTTAAGCCCCCAA